TTCTCCCTCTCTCTACGCCCCTCCCCCTACATGAGTGCGCTCTCTCTCTCTCTCTCTCTCACTCTCACTCCATCTGTCTCTCTCAAATACATAAAACCTTGAAAGAAAGAAATATTACTCATGTGAAAGGCAGAAAGGATTATCAGAAGTTCAATATAGCTAACTCAGAGGAGGAATTAGTTGCTGTAAAGGACAATTTAGTCCAGCAATGTGTGTCAATTCTTGGTGAATGCTAATGTAAGAATGAATGCCATTTTGCAGGGCCAGGTTTATCAGCATTACTGCGGAGCAGAATATTATTACTTTTTAAATTAAGTAATGTCATTCTTCATTTTCACTTTATATATTTTTGAGGGTTCAGTAGCCCAAAGTTTGGAGGCAATAATTGAAGAGGCAAAGCAATACACCTTTGTGAAGTCTCTTGATAGTATAGATGTACCCTAACTTTCAATCACCTCCTTCCTGATGGACAGTTTTTTCTAATTAGGAGTGCCTCAAAACACACTATCGTGTTTATTTCTATAAGAGAATCACGAAGTTGAGAAAACTTGGTCAAAGAGTTATTTTTCAAAAGAGTTGTAGTAATGATGGCAGGAATGTACATTTTACCACCACACCCTCTCATTATTGGATGTTATGACTTTTTAAATTTTTTCCAATCAAAGGAAGGAAAATTAGTTTTTGGTTGTGTGGTAGTCACGTTGAGGGTCTTTTTTTTATTTTGTTTTTTGTCCTTCTCATTTTCTCTTTACTTGGTCACTTCTTTTGCCCATTTTCATTACTTTTTGAAATAACTGAATTATAAAAATTGTTTAGAGTTGTTAACCCTGTATCATAAATATTATCACAACTCTATCATTTATCTTTTGAGGTTTTATGGTGAATCTTGCCAACTGCCAACTAAGTACTTTAAAGTTTAACATAGCCATGCGTTGTATTTGTGAAAGAGGAAAGATTTTTCCTTTGCCCTCTTGGTAGAACTTGGAGTCCTGCAAATTAAACTGGCAAAGACAGACTAAAGGCATAAAAGTTTTCTTTTTAATGTTACACGCACAATGGTCCAGGGAAAAATGTAAAACTCAAATAAGTGGTTAGGCTTGAGAGCTTATATACTATTTTAATGAAGGGTGGTAAGTTGTGAAATAACTAGACAAAAGAAGAAGGGTGTGGGCTTCTAGGAGTGGTAAATTGAGGGAAGGTAATTATATGGGGGAAACTAATGGTAGATAAGTTATTTAGTACGACTTTTTTTGCAGACTCATCAGTGTCATCTCCATCTCTGGTGCTAAGGGATGTTCTCCTTTTGGTAGGAGAGAGGAGGGGAACATCTTCACAAAGGGAAATTTATGCCTTGCTTTTGTTAGATGGTGGAATGCAGACAGTTCTTCCTGTGTCTGCTTCTCAGTTGCCTTCAGCTCAAAATAATTTTTACGCCAAAGTGGCATATTTTGGCATGGCTTACTCATCTTTTATTTTATGGCTTCTAAGTATCCTTCCTTAAGAAATCTCTTTAGGGCAGCCCCGCTGGCTCAGTGGTTTAGCGCCACCGTCAGTCCAGATCCTGGAGACCGGGTATCGACTCCCAAGTCCGGCTCCCTGCAGGGAGCCTGCTTCTCCCTCTGCCTGTGTCTCTGCCTCTGTGTGTGTGTGTGTGTGTGTGTGTGTGTGTGTGTCTTTCATGAATAAATAAATAAAATCTTTTTAAAAAAAATCTCTTTAACCTACAGTTACAGTTATTCTTCTAATTTTTTGCCCAATACATTTTTGTTATATTTTTTATATTTCAACCTATAATTCTTGTAGAATTTACCTGTGGTACAAGGTAGAGGCCTAACTTTTTATCTTCCAGATAGCCAGTTATTGTCATTTCATGCTAATTTATGAATGAAAATATTCCTTACCCACTACACTGAAATGCCACCTTTATATTAACATTCTATGTACAATTGAATTTTTCTGGATTCTCTATGTATTTATCTTTTTTATGCTAATTTTTTCATTACTACTCCTTGATCATAGTAGCTTTTTGTGAAGTTTTGTGAAGTTCTAGTAAGACACATTGCCTACTCCCAGCCTCTGCTAATCTTATTCTAAACCATTCTTATTTATCTTCCATTTGCAGACATTAAAATCACTTGTTTCCAATGACAATGTTTTTTACATATCCTATACTTTAAACAAATTTATTTCTAGGCATTTTATTGTTCTTGTCAGTAATGTTGCTTGTGATAAGAACCTTTCAAAGTAAGTTCTAGGAGCTCTTCTGCCAAGGCACTTTTGTATAGGCTCTTGTGGGTGAACTGATCACCATTGGTCCCAGAAGGTGTTTTTGTCTTGTTTCTGTAGTACGAGGAGTGAACAGAAGGAAGAAAGCAGGGAAGAGAAGGTTATATTACCTATGATTAAAATTTTCTATGGATTCAGTTCTCAGCTAGTTCAGATTACTGAGGGGTTATCAGAAACTAAGACTTTTTTGTGTGTTTCTTCAGTTTTTGCAGCTTTTAGTAGGTGGAATACTCATATCAATGCATTTTACTGAATTTAAAACTTTTTTTTAGCTCTCTGAATGCCGATTTAATGGCCAGATTTGTTAGATTTGAATATATCTTGCAGGGAGTATTTTCTTTAAAATGTTAAGTTTGCAGTTACTCAGGTTCCTGGATTTAGTCAGTGGGTATTTATTGCAGTGGGTATTTGTTAATGAAATGCCACAACATTACTTGAATACTGACTGTATTCAACTTCATTTATATTCACTCTTTGTGAGGGGAGCAAAGAGTAACAGTTTAAAAAGTGCAAATAACCTGATATTCCACTCAATAAACACTAGCCATAGACAATTTATACAATCAAGCCTGGCTAGTCCTATGGGAAAAAATACGTCAGTGACTTTAAGGGACCTTCTACTGGGGATGAGAAATTAGTATCATTGGTCTGACTGATGGCAGGGCTGCTGGTGATGACAACTTTGTCAATATCTTGGTGGAAGAAATTGAAGACTTTTTTGAGAGTCCAAAAAGAAGAACTGAGTAAGGAAAACTTAGAGGACAAACATTTAAATAAAACATTAGAACAAAACAAAACTTATGCCTATACAGTTGTATAAAAAATCATATTTTTATTATATTTTATAGTTGTCTTGGGGACTTTTCAAGGGCAATTTGAGTATTTAACTTTCGTTTGCTGATTAACTTGAGAATTTCATTCATGTGAGGGATGAAATTTAATGGTGCGAAGGTGCCAAGAATTATGAGAGACACAGGAAAATACATGACATCCTTTCCGCCTTGAAAGAACCCGAAGGAGCAATATATTTAATGGGGCCACATTAGAAGTGTGGCGACATTAAATAATGCAACATATCATGAATGACAAAATGTGTGATCAAACCATTACCATATAATTGTTGAAGGAATGTGTGAATGAATGGACACAGACGATTCAAACATTATACCTTTATACATTTATTAAACGATACTGTATCTAGAATACATTCCATTTCTAACAACATTCATTTACAAAACACAATTGCAAGAGTAAAACACGTTATTATTTTTAAAATTCAGCTGGTTAAAAGGCAAAAAATAAAAAGCTTCTTCACATCCCCATTCATCAATCTACCTGAGAAATACATTTTTACAGTTTACTATCCATCTAGAGATTCTGTATGCCATGCACATACTTTTTTTTTTCTTTAAGGATTTTATTTATTCATGAGAATACACGGGCGGTGGGGAGGGGAGGCAGAGACAGGCAGAGGGAGAAGCAGGCTCCATGCACCGGGAGCCCGACGTGGGATTCGATCCCGGGTCTCCAGGATCGCGCCCCGGGCCAAAGGCAGGCGCCAAACCGCCGCGCCACCCAGGGATCCCCTGTTTTTAAGTTAAATCAATACTATTAGATGTGAGGATGATCCGGTAGCCACCTCAAAATCAGAGTTGTTTAGCTTCCTTGGGGGGGGGGGAGGTGCTAAAACACATCCAACCTCTCCCTTCCTTTCTTAGAGCTCCCAGATGTGTCCCTTCGGAAGCGGTCGTTGGGGAAGGAAAATGACACCGTGGTCCTCAGAATCTCCCAGGACAACTACGTAATAATCGCGTAAAACAGTCTCGATTCTTATCAGAGGGGGCCAAAGATTCGTCGCTTTCCAACACCTGCCCCCCCTGTATTTTATCTGGGACCAGGCACTAGTCCGACCACCCCGCATCTTCGACTTGTGGTTCGAATCAGTGTGACTGGCGCCCTTGGCTTTTTGTCTCCCCCAAACGGGGGGTGGCGGCTGGGGGGCGACAGAGGCTCGACGTCCCGACTGCGCCGGAACCGAGGAGGGTCCAGGGAAAGAAGGTTTGCGCGGAGTTTGCTGCTTCCTCCGCCGCAGCCGTGGTTCGCGCGAGCGCGGCGCGGCGGGTACAAGCGTCAGGGGTCCCCGAAGGAATGCAGGGCTCCCGCGCGCCTCTGTCCGTCCCAGAAGCCAGAGGATCCTCTCCGGAGTCACCGGGCAGGAACACCGACGCTGGGGCCTGTCCAGGAAGCACACAGACAAGGGACACTGCAGCGGAGGCGGCGCGGCACAGGCGACACCCGCCCCCGGGGGCAGAGCGGGGGTCGCGGGGGTCGCGGCGGGTCGCGGGGGCCCCTCCCCCCCCCCGCGCCGCCCGCGCCGCCCGCGCCGCCGGCGCCGGGTCCCACCCCGGGGGGGCGGAGCTTAGCGCACCTTCCGGATTGCAGGCGGAAGTGGACGAATTTGAATCTTGTGGGCCGTTGCATGGGGCTGCTCGCCGTCGGCTGTGCGGCTCGGCGAAAGGAGGGCAAGGTGACACGGCCTCTCGGGAACCTCCACCCGGCGCTCCTGGGTGAGTGGACGAGGAACGGGAAGAAACTGAGTTTTCCAGGGAGAGAGTTCGAACGTGGGGCGGGGCAGGGCTCGAGAGGCGGGAGCGTGTCGCGGAGGCCTGGGAGTGCCTTCGCGGACGTCGGGTGGCGGCGGAGCTGGGCTCGCGGACGTGGAGGAGTCGGGGCGCGGGGCAGCGTCTCCCGGGCGGGCGCCCACAACCGGCTCGGAGCACCGAGGGCACCGAGGGCTCCTCGGCGCCCCCGGCCCCGAGACTAAGCCTTGTTTAATCCGCCTTTCCGGTGGGTTTAGTGGTTCCGCCACTTCGGCCCCGAATGCTGAAGCTGTAACAGTACTTAGGTCGAACTGCGGAAGCGTTCCCGCAGGTGGGAGAACCTTCCTTTATTAAAGATGGAAGCTTGGGGGCAGGTTAAGAATGAGGCGGCGCGGGACGTGGCTCCAGAGTTCCTCTTCGGGAAGTGACAGTCTTCGAAGTGCCCGGTGGGGATTTGAACTGAAATCTGAGTATCCTTTGTGTGGAAAACCCGGATATTTTTCTTTCACGATTTTCTTTCACGATTTTCCCTGTGCCGCGAAAATCCGGGACTCCCGGAGGAACCGCGGTCCTCCCCGGAGGTCTTGGTTATCCCTAACAATAGGGGTAAGGTTTGGTGAGTCGCACGGGTCTGCCTTTTCACCCCCTCCTCTCGCTGGCCAGCTGGGCCCTTGGGGAGTCTTTGTGGAGGCGCTCCACCAATGCTTCCGGGATTCGGGCGGGTTTTGTTTTGTTGTTGGTTTTATTTATTTTTAGTGACGAACTGCCTCAAATATCAAATTGTCTAACCCCATAGCAAAGTCTGCCTCCTGGAACAGCTTAAATGCGTACGCTACACCTGAAATATAAGTGAGTTTAAATGTATAGAGATTTTCTGTTTTGCCTTATGGAAGACTGTCAGATTAACCTTGTGCTGTTTTATAGGAACTGATACTTTATGTTCCTTTTAAGATTTTAACACCAGGGTATCATACCATGGAAATTGCACAAATATCTTTTAAAAACTGGGCATTCCTTCTTCCTTTACTGTGTCCTTTACTTCCTTTACTCCTACTCTCACGTCCCTGCTAGTGAACTTTTGTTTCATTATTAGCCAGGAAAAATAGATTTAAATATTCAGTATTTCTGATTGTTGAAATTTAAATATTTGTGTGAGATTGCAGCAAAAGCATTCGCTGTACTTTCCTAAGAATTGCAGACAGCTGTTCTCATTTTATGGAAACTACCAGCAAATAGTAATTTAAAAAAAAAAAAAAGTCTCTACATTTTAATCTGTTTCTTGTCCTTACTTGGACTTTCTTCATTGAATTTCTGCTCTCTCTACGTAAATCATTAGCGAATTTCAAATTTTAATGTGTATACATTAAAAGGGTTTGTTAAGTGCTGATTCCTACGCTTCAAACCGCATGGATTCTGGGCCCGTTAAGTCTGCAGGAGGAGGAATCTGTAAACTTAATTGGAAGGTTAGAACATTTGACAAGAGTTCTTTTTTTTGTTTTGGTTCTGTTTTTTAAAAGATTTATTTGTTTATTTGAAAGAAAGAGAGAAAGTCCCAAGCAGACTTCATGCCCAGTACAGAGCCTGTGGAGGGGCTGGATCTCCCTACCCAGGAGATCACCACCACCACCGGAGACCAAGAGTTGGCAGCTCAACCAAGTGCTCCACATTGGCGCGCCTTGACAAGAGTTTTAAGAGCAATGGCTTGATCTTTCCTATAGAGACATAATGATACACTGTTAAGGGCATGGAACTGGAGTCAGATTGCCTCAGTTCGAATTCCATCTCCACCAGTTGGTAGCTGTATGACCCAAGGAAGCTGTTTTACCTTCCTGTGTTTCAAATTCCTGACCTGTATAATGGAGTGATAACAATACCTGCCTTGTAGGATTATTGTGCGAGTCAAATGATGCCACACATATAAAAATCTTAGAATACTGTGTGACACATAGTAAATGATTCATACATCTCCAATTATATTGAGTTATTAAGCATTGTACAAACCACATTACATACATTATCTCAATCTTCACATGCAGCACTGCAATATAAAATAGATAAAACAGAGGTCAAGAAGGTTGTCACACAACTACCAAAATGTTTGAACCAGGTTCAGCAACTAGATGTGTTTAGAAAGTTTATGCCTCTTTTAAAATTATTATTATATTAAATAATACTTTCTGCTTTTCTCTGCGGTCTATCCTTTCAAATGTTGCCTCTTAAAAATCTCTGATGGCTCCTCCAATATAATTCGGATTTCTCAACCTTTTCTTTTCTTTTCTTTTCTTTTCTTTCTTTTCTTTTCTTTTCTTTTCTATTCCTTTCCTTTCCTTTTCTTTCTTTCTTTCTTTCTTTCTTTCTTTCTTTCTTTCTTTCTTTCTTTCTTTCCTTCCTTCCTTCCTTCCTTCCTTCCTTCCTTCCTTCCTTCCTTCCTTCCTTCCTTTTACAAAGCCCTTGTCAATCTGGTTCCAACCTCTGTTTGCAGGCATCAACTTCATAATATTCCACTACTCTTTTCCAACCTGTGATGTTCTATCCATATTGCTACCATTATCCAAATCTGTTCTCTCTCACTTTTATATACACTTAGCCACCAACATTTTATGTCCCTTTAAGATTTTACCCAGTGGGTTTCCAATACTTTCCTAGACTTCCTCAGGTGGAGTTCTTCCTTGGTGCAATTTAGTTGTAAGCATAGCACTAGACTGAAAGCTCTTGTCCTTTTTGTCTTTATGTCTGCATTTCTTGGTACAGAATAGTGGGTGTCGTTGTATTCTGAAACTGTATATGTTCAATGATGCTTGTTATTTTAGCAATTTAACACATTGTGTTTTGTTAAAGGAAGTTTTTTTTAACTTTGCTTTTTTTCTGAAATGATAGAATGTAATTCTGATAGTTTAGTAGAGATTTTAGTGATACCATATGGTTTGTAAATTTCACAAATACGGAAAAATACGTATAGAAATTGTAGGCTCAGATGTTTCAACTGGTAAAAAATTCTGAGTAATATTTACTGACATTCATAGAACTCCAAATGATTTATACATATTTTTTCACTTAATCCTTAGGACCATTTTATTATTACTCCCGTATAAAGATGAGGAAACTAGGCACCTAAAGTTATAGTAACTTAAAAAAAAAATTGTTACACTTAATTTTCTTCCAGGGACGCCTGGGTAGGTCAGTGGTTTAGCGCCTGCCTTCGGCCCAGGGTGTGATCCTGGGGTCCTGGGATCTATCCTGCATGGGGCTCCCTGCAGGGAGCCTGCTTCTCACTCTGCCTGTGTCTCTGCCTCTCTCTCTCTCTCTCTCTCTCTCTCTCTCTCTCTTTCTCTTTCTCTCTCTCTCTGTGTCTCTCAAGAATAAATAAATAAAATCTTAAAAAATTTTTTTATCTTGTGGAATTTTTGTATTATAAGAATAATATATGTTTAGTGTAATTAGATAATTAACTTTGTAATAGGGAAGTACATATAAGAATATTCATTTCTATGTTAATTCAATTCTAAATTAAGAAAATATTGGAGAGTTAAAAAATATCAAAATTTGCCTTTCCTTTTGAGTTTGAATGGCTCTTATTTGATGTTTTTGACCAGAACCTTTTCCTTAAAAAGCTGCCCCAAAATAGAGACATCATTTTAAATGCCTTTGGGCAGCGTTTGGTAAAAGGAACTTATGATCCTAATATGCTCCCTCCCATTCCATACACCTTCTCCAACCAAAGTAGTACCAGGTATTTGCATCTGAGCTGAATATCTAGACCATTCACATTATTTCTTCTTGAATTTTGGAATTGGGATACCAAAAATTATTAGAGCTAAGCCAGAAAGGTCTTTATATCCCTGAGATCACAGTGAAATCATGAAGAAACAACAACAACAAAAAAAATGTGGCATACGGAGTCAATGACAGTGGGGGAGGGCAACCTGTTTTCCAGAGATTAGTTATAAAAGTCAGCAAAACTTATAACATTATTGCTTTCCCTTTTTGGTTTTTTGTTAAGACTGTATTTTTTTTAGAGCAGTTTTAGGTTCACAGCAAAATTGGTGGGAAAAATAATAGTGATTTCCTCCACATATGCATAGCGTCTCCTATTATCTATATACCCCACTAGAGTGATGCATTTGTTGAAATTGTTGAACCTACATTGACACATTATAAGCACTCAAAGTTCACAGTTGAAGTTAGAGTTCACCTTTGATTTTGTACATTGTTTAGGTTTAGACAAATGGATGACAGGTGTCCATCATTATGGTATCATACAGAGTATTTTCACTGTTCTTTTTTTTAATTTTTTTTTATTTATTATTTATGATAATCACAGAGAGAGAGAGAGGCAGAGACACAGGCAGAGGGAGAAGCAGGCTCCATGCATCAGGAGCGCGACGTGGGACTCGATCCCGGGTCTCCAGGATCGCACCCTGGGCCAAAGGCAGGCGCCAAACCGCTGCACCACCCAGGGATCCCCTATTTTCACTGTTCTAAAGATCTTCTACACTCCTCCACCTTTCCCAACCACTGAGGTTTTTACGGTCTTCAGAATTGTACCTTTTCCAGGATACCATATAATTGAAATCATACGTATCTAGCCACTTCTTTCACTTTGTAATATGCGTGCACATAATGTTCTCCATGTCTTTACACAGCTTGATAGTTCATTTCTTTTGTATCAGATGATCCATAGTTTGGATGATCCATAGTTGATTCATTCACCTACTGAAGGACCTTAGTTGCTTCTGAGGTTTGGCAATTGTGCATAAAGATGCTGCAAATGTGAACATTTTGATGTGGACATAAGTTTTTACCTCCTTTGGGTAAATACCAGGGAGCATGATTGCATAACTTCGGTAAATCCCACTTGTTTGCGGTGTATAAATTTTTTAATATGTTGTTAGATTTGATTTGCTAATATTGAGGAATTTTGTATCTATGAGAGATACTGGTCTGAAGTTCTTTTGCGATGTCTTTGGTGTTGGCATGAGGTAATAATACAGAATAAGCTAGGAGATAATCCTTCTGCTTCAATCTCCTGAAAGAGGTTGTAGAGAATTGATATAATTTCTTTTTTAAATGTTTGGTAGTTTTCACCAGCGAACCCATCTGGGCCTGGTGCTGTTTTGGAAAGTTATGAATTATTGATTCAATTTTTCTGATACAGATCTATTCAGAGGGTCCATTTTTCCTTGTGTGAGTTTTGGCAAATTCCTTTAAAGGAATTGGCCCATTTCATCTAGATTACCAAATTTGTGCGTATAGAGTTTAATATATTTTTAATGTCCATAGAATCTGTAATGGTATCCATTCTTTAATTTCTGATATTAGTAATTTGTGTCC